CATTTCAACTATGGAAACAAAACCCATTGCACACTGCTGCCAACTAGTGTTGTTGCATTTGAATTGCACCAAAGGAAAAGAAAACACACAAGTGTTTGCATGTAAATTCTTCCAAAAATGTAGATACACGGCTTTGAATATCGATGTAATGTCACAGGAAAAAATATCACAATTTATTGCTATATTAATATTTTCTTACATCCCTAATATATATGGTAAATGGCCTGTATTTGATATAGCGCCTTCTAGAGTCCTGGAACCCCCCAAGGCGCTTTACAACACAATCAGTCATTCACCCATTCACACACACATTCACACACTGGTGGGGATGAGCTACAATGTAGTCACAGCTGCCCTGGGGCGCACTGACAGAGGCAAGGCTGCCGAGCACTGGCGCCACCGGTCCCTCCGACCACCACCAGCAGGCAAGCTGGGTTAAGTGTCTTGCCCAAGGACACAACGACAGCAACAGACTGAGCGGGGCTCGAACCTGCAACCTTCCGATTATATATATATATTTGACGGGACGGGACTTTGCTTCCAGCCGCAATCATGGAGGTAGGGAACAGGGCTTGAGGTGCAATGCATTTTTACGCCTCTAGGTGGTGCCCTCTGAGATAAAATAGTGATTTCTGCTTTAAGCAGCTAGGTTTAGTGGAATAGTTAACATGACTTGGTTACGTTAAGTCAACATTTCATTTTTACAGTGTACTCCTTTTAAGTTTGAACCTATTTTTTAACAGTAAACTTAAAACAAAGAAATTTGATGCCACTGAGAGATTTTTTTTTACCAAACAAGATAAATGTAACCTGCTGTGAACAAGATTAAAGAAAACCCATCTCATATTTTATTTCTCTTGCATCAGGAGGAAATTGGATTTTTCGTGTGTTTTCAAGTTTTTTTCTCCCAACACTGACAGACAGAGGGATGCCATGTTTACAGTGGAAAACTCTAATGGTTTAATGCACTCCACAATACTGTCACCCCTAAGTTCTGCAGAATAAAATGTCCTTTTGAACATGAAAGAAAAGCAAAGAACAAAATTATTCCTCGAGCTTTCTATCAAGCCTCTGCATTCATGGCAAAGTCGAAAGGGCATGTCAGTCTCGCTGCCTCGGAGAGAGGTAATTATCCTTTTCCTGTCAGGGAACAACAAATGATAGCCAGAGATGGGGGTGCATTTTCAGGAGATAAAATTTGTCAATAGGAAGAAGAAGGGGGTTTAATTTCTGGCAGCTGCACATCTACCTTTATCATGATTTTTTATATTTTTTGTGGTCATTTAATGTTTTGTCTCTCTGTTCATGAGGACTAGCTCAGTGCCGTGCTGTTTGTTTATGTCTGTGAGCTGCTGAGGGTGTATTTATGTGCCCCTGCATTAACATACCTATTTATAGTCCTTCACTTTCTTACAGTCATCTTTTTTTCTGTTGTGACCATTTCACAGATTATATATTGTCCAAGTAATTTCCCTTTCAGCATCTGTGTTTTTTCCTTTCAGAAAAAGGCAGTGAATGGAGGGAAAATTATCACAATTACTCATATAATTGAGCCGTCTTTGTAGCAAGTGCGGCTCCGGTAGCCCCCTTTTTCCATCAGCCAAAATGGTTTCATTATATGGGTTTTTCATATTCCCTGACACAGGGCTCTGCTGAGGGCCTGGCGCGTGGATGAGATGCAGGATGAACAGAGCGAATCATTAAGGTCACAGTAGGAATAATTATCCCAGCTATGGAAAGAGCATCTACAGCCTTTTTCTCCCCCGGCACAAATGCAATGTCCACGGCTTTTAGTCACAAAGAACTTTGTTACAAATGGAGCTTCCACCTTCTACTTATACAAAGAAGAGAGGGGGAGAGCAAGACTTGTATCAACATGACAATTTTCCATCATTAAGACTAATGACAGGCACAGACTGTGGGGATCAAGGGGAGCACAAAAAAGAGAGGCACATTCAGGTGTTGGCTGAGTGCTGACCTCCTTCCTGTCTTTGTTGGAGACTTAACTCTTAACAAAAACTAGAAAGGGTTTCAGACTAAAGGCGCAGTGGCAGCTGAACGTCAAGCAGCCCCTCTCTCCATGGGCAAATGACTTAATTGCCAAATTTGCATGTTTTCCATTTGCTGGGAAATTAATTCAATAAGACCTGCATGTAAAGATGTTTAATCAATCATTGTTTTCGTGAAATAATCCCTCCACCTTACATTATTCCAACAACCCATCAGACCTCCCTGAAAACGGATACTTTATGCATTTTGGCCTTATTTTCTGATGACTTTGAGCAGATCTGTAGTGAACAGGCGGGGGGGATGCAGCGTGTATTTGTGACACTAGTTTCTTTTACAGTTTAGCTGAATTAAGTAAAAGCCATATTTTTCCAAGTCCTTTCTCCCGCTGCCTTCACTCAGGTAATTGGTCATTTTGCAGCCAATTTTGGGCAGCTTGGATGCTTGCTGCCATGGCCTGACCCCTGCTGCTGCTGTAATGGGGGACAGCATTTCTACCAGTTCACTGGGGGCTTTTTCCACACCGCGACCCCTGCTTTCTGAGGAGAAAGCACCTCTGAACACTGAAATGGAAAAGAGAGTTGAAGTGCAACTTTGAAGGCTTTTTTCCCCTCTCTGTTTTTAGCCTTTTGTCAGTCAGATGGTTTTGGGTTAATCATGTCGGATAATGATCACTTTTAACGTTTACAAAGGAGACATGCTGTAAGAGATACAGACACTGGGATTTCATTAATGTTCCAGAGAAAAAAATGGTTGAAAACAAAACAAATGTGCAGATAAAAAAAAAACTTCTATATTTCACAAGGTTCAGCAGAAGCTGAGAGTTTGTCCACAGAGCAGAAACACATTTGGACCTTCAGCAGGCTGGACGGGATGGGGTTAAAGGTGGAGCAGGGTCTGGTGGAGACATCAAGGCCTAAACAAACAAACAAAAATAACACGAATTATCCGCAAAAACATCATTTCATTAGTTCATCTATAAATAAAACACTAAGAAAATATATTTTAATGACTGTTTGCTGCTAAAACACATTATTTGTTTAATTTGTTTTAACTTAAATAATGCCCACCCCAAAAAATTGATGGAAAAAAATCTTTGTAATAAAATTATAGAACAAAATTTGTCATTATGTTATAATTATTAAAATTGTTGTTACCACACATTACCACCTTGGGTGTGAATGGGTGAATGACTGACTGTAATGTAAAGCACCTTGGGGGGCTCTGAAACTCTAAGTGCATTATAACTACAGGCCATTTCCAACAACAACAACAACAACAACAATAATAATAATAATAATAATAATAACAACAATAACAATAATAACAACAACAACAGCAACAATAATAATAATAGCATTATTTAAATGTTTATTAGTTTCATTCATTTTGTTGCATTTCATATTATTTAAGTGTATCACTCTGTTTGGTTAAGCACAGCTTTAGGGAGAATTAGAAATAATTTTGATCAAAACCTCAAAGCCGAACACATTTTAAATATAATGTTTATTGTTTATCTGTATCAAGATTCACAATTTTAAAAATATATTTTATTGAAATGGGATCTCAGACATCATTCATATTGGCTAAAGAACATTAGAAATAAAAAAGAATATATTTACCCTCATAATCCTATAAAAAGTCACAAACCTGAGATGAACAACTAAACTTATAAAATAAAAATTAAATTGTCTTTCTACATTTTTCATTTAGAGTTGCAGGAAAGTAGAATTCATTTTTTCCACGTGACCCCGCTGACCTTTCAGACACAGATCAACAGAACAATGTTGTTTATCAGATCTTCTTCTTCTTCTATGTTTATACATAACTCAGCAAACAAAATCAATTCACATTTTGATGCCACATTGAACATGAAAATAGATACTGAATTGAGTTAATTGTGGCGCATCTAGTTTGCGTTCATTGACGCCGCAAATTACAGGATGGCAGCGCGCAGCCAAGCCAAGAGACGCTGCAGAACAAAAGGTAATTTTACTTGTCTGATCCGCTGCTTTTAAAACGTGAAACACAAGCTTCGTAGTTTGACATTTCTGCTGCTAGTCACTCACCAAATTACACTCGGATTTGTAGCTGAGCCGATGCAGCAGCGATGGCCATTACGCCGTTAGGGAAAAGAGGAGCTACTCGTGGAAGGAGTAATTATATTTTGGGGAGATCTGAGACATTTATGTTGCGTGATATTTAACATGTGCGGCAGAATAAACGAAAAGTTAATTTGAATATTCCAATTTTGGTTATAAATTTCAATAATCTTGATAATTAAAGAAGTTAAAATAAAAGCTATATGATGCAATAATGACAGCTCTCCATCTAGTGACACTAATTAATCGTGGCCTCATTCTTGCAGAGCGCACGGAGATGCGCCTTTACGCGGCACCTTTACGCAACACGCGGCCACAGCAGCTCACCGCAGATCTGTCCAGATACTTGGCAGTGTTGCAGCAGACTAGGGCTTCCTATCGCCAGACTGAAATGAAGTCGGTGACATGTTGGCCCGTTTTTGCTCCCCTCCCTCCACCGCCTGCCTCTCCACCTCTGCACTAACCCTCAGGTGAAGAGCAGCAGGTGTTAAAACACCCTCAGCCACAGAGCTACTCACTCCTAATGAGCCCTGCCTCCGCGCTCCAGCCATGCATGGAGGACTTTATTTTTAGTGTGGCTTGTTAAAGTCTTGCTGCTGCAGGAAGCGCTGCTGTGGCCTGCGCTGCCCTCCTGCAGGAGAGTCAAATTATTAATGACACTGGTGTTGTTATCACGTGTCTGCTTCATCCTAATGACGCAGAGGAGGCTTGAGAAAATCCCTCTACTATTACTTTATGGGTGATAAACTAAACATTTAGCAGAAAACATCAAAATAAGCCTGATTCCTGCAGGAAAGCTTCAAATGAGCTCACCTCTAATTTTGCTACTATTAGCAGCACACTCATGCTTCTGTTATCATTATTTTTGCATGCTTTTTTTCAAATTCCGCCTCAATTCTGCTAATGGTTTAGTTCGCAGCCGTCTGTAGATACTATAATCGTGGGAAAATAATGACAGTTATCAGTCGCACCCACCAAGTACCCATAAAAAATCTGTCCTCTGTTCTGGAAGATGATAATTATTGGTTGTACTACCATTATCGTTGTCGTTGTTGATAGAGGAAATCTTGAGGCATTTTTTTCCACCAAAGTAATTCCAGAGAAATCACTTTAAATTGGCCTATTTTAGGAGGGGACAAGGGACCAGCTTTTTCCGTTATAGCCTAATATTTCACAGAAATCTTTAAATCCAGGCATCCGCAGCCACCAAGGCGCATTGTGGCACACACGGCGTGATGTCAGCTGCCTGCATTTTACAACAATTTTCTTTTACAGACTTGCAAGAGCAGTTTTCACTTCAATTATGCAATTACTCTGATAATCGCAGTGAGGGAATTTAACTGCCTTTAATTTGTCATTCAGGTGGAGATGATGGAGGGACTGCGGATGGAGCAGCTCGGATGTGTTTCTGCTCCGCGGAGAGAGAAAAGCTGCAGTCTGCAGGAGAATCCTGATGGCACGAGGACATCCTGGAGACTTTCTTCTGCTTTGAGAGGAAGCATGCTGCAGAGGATGTTTGACCCCGGACTTATCTGCTTCTCATCCATCATGTAATTATTTGATTTGTTTTTAATGCATTGTTGGATTTAAGATTGCAAGGTTTAGTTTGCATGAATTTGCACATCAACTTTTGAAGAAATAGAGCAGATTTAAGTTCAAATGAACCAAAAATTAACTTTTTTTTGACAAATTCAAGAGTTAGAACTGAAATGTGCATGAAAATGTTCATGAAACAAGCATTTATGGATTAAAACGCATTAAATTCAACAGATTTACATTTGAAAAGCATTTTTAAAATGCTTATAAATCAATTAATTTAGGTGACTTTAATTGCGCGCAACGAAAAATTAGTAAATTGTGAATAATTGATCCTATTTAATGTTTGTACAAATGTTTTAGATATTTTTATTATCTTTCAAGGCCTGAAGCCCCGACCTGCATGCTTCCAGGTGTAACTGAGACTTCTACGTGTTAAATACATGACTAATTACAGACCTACTTATGAAAATTGAAAGCTAGTGGTATGCTAATGTGCGGCTTCCTCCTGATGGCGCATAATCAACGACAAAAAGAAGCTTTAATTAAACTGGCCACCAGACAAAGCAGCTGGAACCAGGATGAAAATGTTGTTTTAACTCCAAGAAGAAACTTTTTGTGAAACCAGGAATAAAAAGAAATTCACAGAAATTCACTTGGCGTGTCAAAAGGAGACCTGAGGTTTTGTGGTTTTTACTTGACTTTATCAGGTTCTTCGGACCCAGCCCCACCGTCACCAATCGGCTTCTCTCTTGGAGAAAGTGGACCAATCAGTGACAGTCTTCGATGAATATTCATGAGTCCGAGATTCAAACCTTTGAGCGAGTTTGTCTTGCTCCACAGCATCACTCCAGGGACTTTTCACAGACACAAACTACATTTTCTTATGAATGGAACGAGAAAAAACCAGTGCGGCTTAAATTGGGACCCGTCCTTCATCGAGATCATTGGAGGAAAACAACAAAAGCGAGACGAAGGGAACCGCCAGAAGAGATGACAATGACTACGATTCCAGAAGGTCTTAATAGCCCTGCCTCGGGAAAAGCAGTTTTCATGGAGTTTGGACCCCCGAGTCAACAAATGTCGCCTTCCTCCATGTCTCACGGACACTATCCCATGCACTGTTTACATTCTTCAGGTCACGCGCAGCACGACAGCTACAGTCCAGCCTCGTCGTTCCCCAGATCTTTAGGTTATCCATACGTGAACTCCGTCGGCAGCCATCCCACCAGTCCTTATCTGAGTACAGTACAGAGTTACCAGAACAGCTCGGGGCTCACGCAGACACGACTGGAGGACACAGGTATGTGTGAGACACCACTTTTGTCTCCTAAATATCGAATTTCTATGTTCGTTTCGCTGCGTGGATTAAAAAAGCGCGCCAGATGTGGAATTACGCGCGGCAATTATTTATTGCGTAACACTATAAACAATGTATACAATTAAGTGTAATTATACTTAAAGTAGAGGCTGTTAAACTTGTGCTGGAGTATCCGTTGCAGCTGCCTCCTCACATTTTGTGTTGCATTATCTCCCATCAGCGCCAGAACCCGAGAAGAACACGGTGGTGGAAGGCGGAGAGGTGCGATTCAACGGGAAAGGGAAAAAGATCAGGAAACCAAGGACTATTTATTCCAGTTTACAGCTACAAGCTCTGAACAGGAGGTTTCAACAGACTCAGTATTTGGCTTTGCCGGAGAGAGCTGAGCTCGCGGCGTCGCTGGGTCTCACTCAGACGCAGGTAAGTGTGTGAAACTCACAAATAGCTTCACACTGCAGCGGCTGCATTTCCACATTATTATTATTATCATTATTATTATTATTATTATTATTATTATTATTATTATTATTATTATTATTATTATTGTTATTATTATTATTATTATTGTTGTCGTTGTTGTTGTTGTTGCGTTTTTAAGGCACTTGTACAATTTACGCATGTGTAAAGCGCGCGTAAATTGTGCGTAAAAACAACATTTCTCCTGAAATAAAAATTCTTTGTCTCCGCAGGTTAAAATCTGGTTTCAGAATAAACGCTCCAAGTTCAAGAAACTGATGAAACAAGGTGGCAGCACGATTGACACCAACGTTTTAGCCACCGGACGTGGACTTTCGAGCGGTTCTCCTTCGGTGGCACCTGTTTGGACCTCGCCGGCCACCGTGAAGACGCCCGTGGGCACAACCGGATCCTACATCCCCAGCTACACCTCGTGGTATCCAACCACACACCAAGAGTCTATGCAACAGTCACAGCTGATGTGAACAGAGACTGGAGCGTCATGGATGGGCCCTGCAGCCTGCCGCATTTGATGCGCGGCTCCGCATTTTGTTGATGCTCGACAATAAAAACAGGAGAACTGCCGCCGCATCCTGTGAGCTGACACCGAGGCCTCCCCAGACTGGATAATGACAAAGCAGAGGCAGGAGACGCAGAAAGAGGGGGGGAAAGGCGCAAATGCATCCAAGGCATCGAGAGCTGAATCAAAAAGACAAAAAAGAGAAATTATTTTAGCTGCTGACTGCTTTCATGTCAGATGATTTCTTCTAATTCTGATTTGTGTGAAGAATCCAGCTGTTGATCTGCAAACGCGGGTTTTGTTTGCGCCAGATGTTGGGTCTGAAGGTGACGCTGAGCTAAAACAGAAAAAGGCCAATCAGACCGCAGCAGCGGGTCTTTAACCAAATAACAGATTCCAAATTCCACATCATCAATATGCCTCACGTCGCTTTACATTGTTTTACGTGTTTGTTATTTAAGTTAATTTATTTAGACTGTTCTGTTTAGTCTGTGTTGATTTTGTAAGATGAGAACAACACAGTTGTTTCTGCTGCACTAAAGCTTTTCTATGCCGCGCCCGGATGTTGTGAAAAAAATGTAACAGATGGATTCGCTGCTTTCAAACGAACAAAGAGATAAAAATCCCACGAAGAAGAGCAGCCGATTTGTCACTGTACTTTGTACATAATTTCTGGATTTGTTAAATTTTTTGTTTATTTTTTTGTGCTGTATTCTGGCTGTGAAACAGGATTTTAGGTTTCTGTGTACTCGTCCAGATGTTGTTTAGTCCATCATTAGAAAATATTTAGTTTTGTATTGATCACTTTAATTTATTTATCTGTTTCTGGAGTTTATGTACAGAAAAAAGTGCTAAGTTTCAAAAGCAGTAAAAACGATTTAAATGAAGCGCGCGGTGTGTGATTCAGTCTATCCCTTCATCCCTCCTTTTGTTTCCTGTCCTCCTGCAGCTTTAATGCGAGCTGACACAAAGCATGCTGGAGCAGACACCATGTGAGCGCGAGCCTGTGTGAGCAAAAAAAATATATATATATGATGGTCATGTATAACAATCAGCCATACATGGGTTTGTGCTGCTCCTTCAGTGGTTACAGATGTGCTCCAGCTGCAGACGTGACCTTTAGACAAACCAGATTTTGAAATAGTTTAACACATTTACGCTCATCTAGGCTGCAGGATAATTTTAAGACAAATCAAAAATGATAGATGCAGCATTTATGTTGCAGAAGTTGGTTTGCTATTGATAAATTAAGTGTGAAATGAATGTAAAATTGCACAGGAAGATGCATGATGCATGCAGATGGAAGATTTTAAACACTTCTGAATTTATTTAAAACACCTTAAATGTGTTTTTAAGTATATCAATGCAGACATTTTTCAAAGGAGAAAATGTGCGCATTTCCTATAATTAATAACACCCATTTGATGCATTTTGCGTGTTTGATTAGACTTTTAAGAGTAAAACGGCTCAAAATCTGTAAATTGTGTGGAGTTAAGAAATTAAAACTGTGAAAGAATTTTAAAAGCAGCATATTCGCGTTTTTAATGTTAACATTTTTCCGAGCTTTTCCTGTTCCCACAGCTTTATTAAGCGATTTTACAAAGTATTGTGTCACATTAGATACAGTTAATTATTATTATTAGTTGCAAAATGCTATAAAATAGGCTTTAGCCTCGTTTATTTCTCTCTCTCTCTCTTTCTTCCATTGTTGCTTTAATAACTTTCTTTTTGAGAGCTTCTATATGCGTTCAGACCCATTAAAGCAACCCTGAGGAGGCAGAGCTGCAGCTTAAATCTGCCTACCTTTAGTCCCAGAAAAGGCGCAGCTGCACACCCAAGAGGGTCAGTGTTATTTCGCTGTATTCTCTCCTTGATTATACGAGTTGAGCCCATCAAACCCGGTATAATTACAGTAATTTTGCCCTTATTTATTCTAATGCAGTTTCCTATCTCTGAGGTAATTATGAGCAATTTTTTTCCCGCACCGAGGATCTTTCTGCCTTAACAAAAGAGATGGTGCTCTGAAGGAACATTTCTGCAGCAAAGAGAGAAAGAGAGAGAGAGAGAGGGAGAAATAGGTGAGCTGCCATTTTGTCACCGTTCCCTTTAGATTTAGCCTATGCATGAGGCTGACAAATTGCTTGCAGGTGTACATCACCAAGTTGTCAATGGCTTGAAGATTAGGAAGGCACAAAGTGAGAAAAACGATTTTCTTTTGCACAAAAAGATCCTTATTTGCAATAAAAACCTTAAAAATGAATTTACTATTAAGATTCCGTTTAATATCATCAAACGTGACACAAGCTAAGTTAATAGTGATGAAGGAAATTAATCACACAATTTCTTGTGATGTTAAACGTGTTCCAGTGTAAGAAGAAATAAAACATCCAGCACGCACCTTTCTACTCCAAATGGAAGCTCCATATTGGGATAATGGTTTGCAGGAATCGGAGGTGCAGAAGCATCCTGCTGCAGGAGAGAAAAGTCTCTTAAATCCCACAAAACGCGTCTCCATGTGTCGGTCCGAGCTATAGCTGCAGAGTTCAGAATATGACTGCAAATCTCTGCTTTATTTCCCTCTTTTTATAGCTGATGGGGGGAAAATTTTTAGATTATTAGCATAAATGTTTACTCCTCATTACGCTGATGACATTGTGCACTCGAGATCTTGGTAATCTTTGGGGGAAATTATGAGTAATTTTTTAAAATTTAAAGCAGCAGTTACCATGCAATTCAGGCTAATTCCGCGTAGGCTCCACACGGATAATTATCGTTGAGTCAAGATGTTAGGCTTAAAAACTATGCATTGATATTCCCCGTTTATTATGTACATACAACTTTGACAATGTTGATGCTTGAAATAGCGGGAAATGGTCTTGTGTAAAAAATTACACCCCATATTAGGACATCTGAAATTGCGAAGAATTATATAGTAATTGCAGGCTTTCAGATTTGAAAGCCAGAAATGCTCCAACCAGAGTAAATGTGGATGAAATTACAGATCAGGGTTTAAATGAGGATAGGGGGTATGGCATTTAAGATGCCTGCAGAAATGCAGAAAAACTGCAAACCACAACAGCTCTAAAATAACTTTATGAGAATAAACCCACAGCAGGATTGACAGTTAATTGAATTATTAAAGATACAATAATGCCTGCAGCACTTGGGCACCGGCTGCATGCCTGAGGGAGGGTCTGACACTGTCAGCCCACACATCATGCAGATAAAGCAGACATGCAGCAGTCCTAACTACGATCTTACTTTTCATGGCCTGTGGCCGTTTTTGTTTTAAATTAGAAAAGTGCGCAAAAATACGCGTCCCCGCAGACGGAGTCATAATAAGTCAGTCTGGATAATTTGAAATAAATACATGTTTCATAATAGGTTGATATGTGTGTTTTGCTGGTTTTGGACGCGCGCCTCTTTTCTCCACCTGAATAATGTGGGTCAACCTGCGCGTCTTCAGAGATCAGAGGCCTGTTGTGAGGGAAGTGTCTGTATGATGGTCTGCTTAGCTCCAGGCTGGATTGGATCTCGTTCCCGTCTCATTTTTCCACCTCGCTCTTGTTAAGCTGAGTTCATAAAACGTCTGGAAAACGGTTGTCTGACTCCACGGAGTCTGAGGAGCCACCCACCCTCATGTCCTCCCTCACCCCCACCACCACCTCTGCATGCCGGAGCGTGTTGCGCTCTTTCTGTTTCTCCTTGTGCGTAAAACCCGACAGCTCAGGCATCCCAAACCTCAGAATTTTATCATGAAATATATATTTGTGTTTCTTTCACTTCCTTTTTTTATATTCCTCAAAAATATTTCAAAATGTTGAAAAAGCAAAGTATTTCTCACATTTTTTAAAATTATAGCAAATAATAACAAAGTCAAACTCATAAAATCACAGAAAACATTTTATTTAAATAACGTCTGGTCATATGGAAACACTGCTAAAATAAATAAGACAAGGAAAAAATACAATTAAATGGAATACACACGAAATCAGAGAGTGGGACAATCAGTAGCTTGTACGGTGGTCAACATGGGCTGTGTAAAGGCTGTGGTGGAATATTTACAAACGTGAATCCAGACTCTTATTATATTCAAACCAACTATATGAGGACTGAATAAAGATGAGCAGTTCGCTTTTTGTTCTGCACAACAAAATGAGGTCATATTGAAAAAGGCACGATACAGTTAACTTGTGCTACATCTGGTTATCCTGAAGTCAATGTTTCGTTTTGCAGGAATGGCAGAAAAAGTGACGTCTGCGCAAGCTTACGCGCACGCACGCTGTGATTGCTTTGGGTAAACAGTGGTTCATCCATTCCTCACATAAACAAAATAAATAAATACAAAAATAACTGTAGAAATCTGCGTCTATCACGTGCCAAACGTGAGTAAGAACCTGTTTCATTCCATCGGTTTTTCTAGATTTTTGTGCGCAAAAGCCCACAAGGTCTAAAAATGAAGGTGTTGGCATGACTTATTTTTATTATTTTCAACAATACTGTCCAATTTAGACCCTCGTTTTTGTTTCTTCACTTCAGAATATCGTCCCAGCGCTTATGGCTGAGTTGTGGTGGTGCTGGACCAGAGGAGGCTGGAGATGCGTCGTAGAGTTCGTGGTTGAATACCAGGAGTAGTTTGCCAAAAACGACGAAGGCGCAGTCGTGTTGGAAGGGCTGGTGCTATGAGGTAAACTCGAGTTGACACTGTTCATTCTTTGAGTCTGTGGAAAGTCCCAGGAAGTAGTTGGCGGAGACGTGCAAGGAGGAGATTCGCTGGAAGTAACATGCTGCTCCGGGGGGATTTCTCCGCTTTTCCACAGCTTTTTGAACTTGGAGCGGCGGTTTTGGAACCAGATTTTGACCTGAAACAAAAACAGATTAAACACTGATAACTGATATTCAGTCCAAAAGAAAATCACGCTCCAGCTCCAGTCAGAAAGCTGATGTCTGACAGCTAACGAAGGCGAGTTCTAGATGTACCCACCTGTGTTTGCGTAAGGCCCAGCGAGGCGGCCAGCTCGGCCCGTTCTGGCAGAGCCAAGTACTGCGTCTTTTGAAACCTCCGTTGCAGTGCAGCCAGTTGGAAGCTGGAATAAATGGTTCGAGGTTTCCTGACCTTCTTTGGTTTTCCATTAACCATCCGGATTTCTGGCTCGCTCTCTTCTTTCTCTGAGGGAAACAGTCAAATGCAATTAAAGTTACGCGCTGAGCATTTAGCATTTTTTCCGGCTGCAGTTCTTTGCTGAAATGTGGCTGCACCGCCGAAAAAACAAAAAATTCTTAAACTTCTCAGATGAAGTCAACATTTGACATTTGAGGCAAATAAAAAGATGTTTTTCGCGCATTTACGCACGGAAAATGAAATGCAATGCAACCCATTTTCATCAGGGTTTTCACTTTCCAAACACTGTGCAAGCTTGTAAAAATATTAATTTTGTGCCGTGAAACAGTTAACAAACAAAAGCGTAAATTTCTCCACACTTTGATGTAAAGCTCACCTGTTTCGGCTGGAGTTGGAGAGGGGTTGGAGCCATAAGAGCTGTACGCACCATACGAGGAGTTGTAACCTAAGTCGAAAGACTTTGCGTTGTATGGCACCGAGCCCGCCGCGCTGCCGTGGTACTGGTAGGAGCTGAGCTGCCCGAATGGGGACCCGGCGCAGTGCCCGGGCTGCTGGCTGTTGTAAAAGCTGCTGTCCGTGGCTGTGGACACCGGCAGAGTCGGAGACTCCTGCGATTTGTGCAAGCTGTGGTAACTGTTTGAGGTAATCTGGTTCGAATGCATATCAGTGTTTAAGTTCTCAAACACCCCAGTCATCTTGAGTGCGGAGCAGCCTGGAAACCTATGCGCAAAAATAAAGAAAAAAATAATGAAAAACTAAACCGCCAAAACACGACTCAGGAGATCTGGACTTTTTTTGTGAGTCAAAACGCATCCCCCGTGCAACACTGAGGCAAAATCAGCGGAAGGTGTGTCCCCCTCGCAGTGGCCTGTGATTATCTGCCACGGTCGGTGGTGGGAGCGCATTTATGTGAGAGTGAGAGGGAGCGATGCTGAGTCTCAGGCAACCAATGAGTAAGGGCTGCACGACTGACTACTCCCCACGCCACCCACTATTATTTGCTCAGGTCTGTCTTTTCCGGTTGTCTCCCGACAGTTTTTAATCAAAACATTTCCAAAAAATAAAATAATAATAAAATAAATAAATAAAAATCGGAGCCGATTAAATTCAAGCTGATTTGGATCAATTGTGCCACCTATACGCGCGCGCTCAGGCGCAAACGGAAGATCAAATGTAATCAAAATAACCAAGAAAATCTACTTACTGGTGCAGGTTGCTTTTTCAGATTTCACTTTATCTGATTAAAAAACGTGTAGAACCGTTTTGATTGTTTTGTTGTGAAGTTTAATATAAACCCCAAATCAGCGTCAGTGTTGAATTAGTCAGGAGAAATCACAGAAACAGATAAAAAATGATGCTGAAACAAAGTCACTGTTCATGATGCTGGAGGTGAAGGTTGGAGAGCACAAAGTTACGCTACGGTGCCCCCATGTGGTCAACGCACGTTACGCACTCAACATTTTAAGCTTTCTTGCGCGCATTTGGCACACTTACTGCCAAACCAGCACATTTCCCAGTATTTATTAAACACATGATGGTTTAATTTAATTTAATTCTTCTGTAGAGGTGCACGCGAGTTCTGTTGGGAACGTTTTTTGCATCTTTTGCCACAAAATTGCTGCACTTTTTTTTTTACTAAAATCTCTGATGGTCTTTTTTTTCAAGAGTTGTAATTTATGAGAGTAAAGTTCAACGTAATGACTATTTCAATAATTATCATAGTTCAATTTTATTCTTTTCCAGTTTGCAGGAGGCTCCTGACAGCCAGATTATCTCTTTTTAACTCTTATCAGTGACTCATATAGTTTTGATTTTATTCTTAGTTTTTTTTGGGTAAATTATTAAAAAATGTAAAGTTACAACAAGAAATTGACACAGCTGTGAAGCACTCTGTGATTCTCTTTCTGTGATGAGTGCTGTATGAGTAACATTTACATATTCAGACACCGGAGGACAGCAAATCCCTATCTTCCCTTTTCTAAAGGCTGTTGGAAACCTGAGTGTTGTTCTGTTTACTGCCAGCAGAGGGCGCACGTTCCCATTTCTTTCGAAGCCACCACACGTAGTGTTTGGAGGAATTTAGAGGAAGGGAACTCTTTAAACTTCATACTCCAGTTCCTTCTTCTCCTTCTACTCCTCCTCCATAATATTGATTTTCCCAAGGGGAGAAAAATGAAAGATTAATATTTTTAAGGCTTAATTAATCTAAGAAGTCAGAAGCTAGAACACTAATTTAAATTTTCAATGGCCCTAATCTTCCTCCATAAGAAGCTCTGTAGGTTTAAACTCTAAACTTAATGTACATTTAAAATCTGATGAAACCAAAAGTTTTCCTCTCTTTCCTGGAGAGTTACACATTTTCAGATTTGTTGACAACAATCAGCAAAACTTTGACATCTCACCCAGATGGGCTGATACTTTGACAAACCCATGAGCCAGAAAGCAGAGCTATAATCCAAACTGGGAGAGCCAGAATGTAAAATGGTGAAAACTGATGATAAATCTGCAGCTCTGTGTGATCATTTTGCATCACCCATATCTTACTATAAATCTTTCATTCACAAGATGATAAATACTGAAGACATCACCCAAGATCATACCCTGCTTTAAATAAAGCAGCAGCCCTGAAATAGAGTCTTGTGTTGCAAGGATGAAACTTTCTGTTGCATTAAGATAATTGACGAAGAACAACAACATTTTATTTATTTAGATCTGAGAAGGTGTCATTGAATAGTTGCACATTGTTCAGCCTGCTTGTCAGAAGCTTGCAGCAGGAAGTCTTTGCTCTGGTTTGGGAGGATTCTGTCAGACCAGCCCATTGTTTCCAGAGCTGCTCATTAGTATACCAAAGTCTGTGCATTCAGCAGCCTGCCATCCGAGCTAGAGTTACAAAAATACAAATACAAAAATCCCCCAAAGAGTCATGCAGATGCTGAAACATACTGCTTCTCTAACTAATTATCCTCCCAGATATAAAGGCAGCCATGGGAGATCTTTCTAAACTGTGATATTGTTAAAAATGAAATAGCGTTTTTATTTTTTGCAGTTATTGGTAGTTATTCTGTTTTGTAGAATTTATTTAGTATTTTTGGGTGCATTTATCTTGTGCTCCGTCTTTTTCACTCCTCCACACACCTGGATCATATTCATCATCATCACACCTTCATTGTACATGTTGTCTCTCTTCCATTAAGCTGTGTGTGTCCGTGGAAGCTCATCAGTCAGATTTTCTTCCATTAAATTTCAAACTATTATTATTATTATTATTATTGTTATGTCATATTGGGTTAAAAAGCTAAAACGCTAGTTTGCTATTTTGCATGTTTTTTTTGTCCAGTGTCTCGTTGAATCAGCTTGTTTTTTTTATTTTCATGATTTTATTTAATGTTTTTTTTTCATCTTACTACAGCAGCTGCTCTACTGAATCCTCTGAGTGTTCAATGACATGGAAATAATGACAAATAAAAGCAGACACAAACAGGCATCATGTTATGTGCAAATTTTTCTTTTAACTCCTGTTTTCTTTTAATTAAAGCATTAAACTATTTTAAAATTGCAATCTAAAGCTAAATAAATCTATATTTTTACTGTTTTATGAAAACAGCAAAAACACCCAATATTTAAACTTACAGGAACACAGCATCAACTCTACTTTTGTTTACCAAATGAAACACTAATGTACACAAAATCTTGTCATTTTTCAATAAGAATCTAGAGATTGAGCTTCTTCTTGGACTGTGTGAGTTGATTAAGCCCATCAGACATTTCAATTAAGATGACAATGTTCTAGGATAATCTGTGGATGTTTGTTGCATCATTTTTCACATTTAAACCAGATTAAATTAAGAATTCAAGAAGATTTTTTTACAAAAGAAATGAAACTAATTTTTGCTTTTTGAATCATTAAGGACAAAAGCAACATAACAGTAATTTAAGTATGTTCTAAAAATAATAAAGTAGTAATTATTGAATAGAAAAATGTTTATTTTTCAGTCTTTTGCTGTTTTCTATGAGAAATGGGGATTTAACCAGTTGACCCATCAATTAAAATAAATCAAACAACTTCTTTTTCAGACAAAATCAAGTTTACAAGAAAGAAAGTTTAATTTTCAAATCTAATATTTGTTATTATATTCTCAAAGTTCTTGTCAAAATAACCTATGAATAACTCTGTCAGTCAGCGATGAATTACGGTGGGCAGCAGAGAAACTGTCAGCTCAGCTGTTTTCCTTCAAAAGGTTTGAAGAGAACCGATGTGCTGAGATATTGACATCTTGTCTCAAAAGATTCAAAGTGCACAAAAACAGGAAGTTGCAGCGAAAGATAAAAACTCTGACATTTTCAGACGTTATTGATTACGGGTGTCTGTTATCTTGTTTGTATTGGGAAAAGCTAAAAAGGCAAACAGAATATGGATCTTGATGATGACAGAGCACTGGCACACGCTGAGTTCAGGTTCCTGCAGAAACGCAGCAGCTGGCCGAGTTTCCTGTGATGTGCATCACATTAAGAAATGAGTCATTCTTTGGAGGGAAGTAAAACCATGACCACTTTTCTGCCTCTTTTTTGTCCTTAGAGAATCGTACAGGTGGAGTCGTGATTCAGGGATCCAGAATTTAACTATACATTGATGTTAATGGTAGAAATGAACAAAACTAGCAACCTGGAAACAGTTCGGATGTTTTTAAAATAAAAGTTTATGCATTTCTGCTCCTTATGACACACTTTACACTGCAAAAACTGAATTTCAACAATGTAAAAAAATGTTTTTAAATATTTTATCTTATATTTTTAGTCTAAATAGAAAAAAATATCTTTCTTATCTGCAAAAATGGCACTTTACATGAAATAAGGTAAGTATTCTTAAATATGTTCTTGTTTTGAGTAAAATAAATCTTCCATTGGGGTAAGCAAAAGTTGCTTGGCTGGAATTCTTAAGCCTAATTTATACTTCTCCATCAGCTTGAGTGTGGAGTTGCACACACACAACGATGAAATTCTTCTTTGTCACCTGGAGAGTGTTGCAAAGCAATTCCTCACCAGAACAGAGGGCGCAGTGCTTTTCTGGTGTATCCTGCCACCATTACATTCATGTATCTGGTTCAAGATAGAGTATTTACTATTGTGTTTACATTTTTCTAATGTATTTCAGAGACTTTTTAACACAGTCGAATTTGTCCCTCATTCTCCTTCACCTTGTCATGCGCTCGCCACCTCAACACACATTTCTTGTAATTTCCGTCCACAAATAAAACTCATGCTGTGTGTCTTTGTACTCCTTCAGTCACAGGTGACTAAGCATTGATATCTTCTGTCTTTTTCCACGAAGTGTTCCATGTCTGCTGCTTAATATGTTTTATTCTTTGAGGGGGCAATGGCGGCGCTGTTGACGAATTTAAAGGAAGTGGTGTTTTGACCAATCACAAACTTGCGATCTTCGTCACTTTCGACAAATTGTTAAAAAGTTGGGCAAGTCTTCGTCAGCCTGTCGGAGAGCCCTTGCACTGATGCATAATGGCGTTGTGTGTCTCCGACGCAGACAGAGAAGTATGAATTAGGCTTTAAACTAGTGACTTTAGATCATTTTGCAAATTTTAAAAATTCTAGTCAAGCCTAGACTTTTTCTTTTACGCAGAACAAAGAAAAAGTCATCGTCATCATCATCATCATCTTCCTCCGCTTATCCGGGTCCGGGTCGCGGGGGCAGCATCCCAACTAGGGAACTCCAGATTGTCCTCTTCCCGGCCTTCTCCACCAGCTCCTCCGGCAGGACCCCAAGGCGTTCCTGGACCAGATTGGAGATGTAACCTCTCCAACGTGTCCTGGGTCGACCCGGGGGCCTCCTGCCAGCAGGACATGCCCGAAACACCTCCCCAGGGAGGCGTCCAGGAGGCATCCTGACCAGATGCCCAAAC